TGGAGGAGTCAGTAAGGAGAGATAACGCGGTCTCTGCTGTCGAAGTCAAAAGGGCAGGCATTTATGGAGAAGTAGCATGCTGAAGGTTCAAGCCATGGCATCACTAGTTAAAGAATCCTTGGTAGCAGGTGATGGGAAAGACCCTCCCTCTGGTTGAGATCCTGAGAATCCACCACCGGTGAGAACTGACAGTTCTAAGCTAGAAGGGCCAAAGTTCTGAAATGAGATATAGAAATGAGATATTATTTCTGGATTGTCGCACATGGTTTGATCAGTAGACAAATCATGGGGCTAGAAATATGAGGTACGGATCCAAATCCTTCTGCAGGCTTCCTATTACCTCATGGCTTTTGAGCAAGGCATCATATCTCAATTTAGCCTACCCTCTAGCATTGCCACAAGGCCCAAGGAGATTCAAAGTGCCATCCTAAGCAGAGTTATGCCCTTCAAAGTCCATTGACGTCAGTGGGATTCTGATAGGGATATAATTGCAAAAGCATAAAGCACATTGAAGTGCCACTGGACATTCACCCCACATGCGAACCCATCCGGGAATTGCAACTCCTCTCCCTCTTGGTCATATCAAAAAATTTGACTGCTCCCCAGACAATGAACAGACAGCCATTTAAATAAAACATTAAAAAAAAGAGAGAGAGAGAAAAGAAAGCAATTATTCTTTTCTTCTGTATTCAGAATCGACAAAATACTTGTGGATCAGAGGGGTTTCAGTGGAACAGCCCATCAAGGCATGGAAAACAATATACATTTGATGTCTAGATGTGTGTGCATCCTAGAGTTGCCAGCTCTGGGTTGGGTAAAACCTGGAGATTTTGGGGGTGGAGCCTGGGAAGGGCGGGGTTTGGAGAGGGGCGGGACCTCAGCAGCATACAGTGCCTTAAAGTCCACCCTTCAAAGCAGGAAACTGATCCGCCTTCCAGTCCACCCTCCGGGGAAACTGATCTCTATTCTCTGGAGATCAATTAGAATAGCAGGATATCTCCAGGTCACACCTGGAGGCTGGCAACCCGAATGGTCACCTATGGTGGGGGGATAAGGCCTGCTATTTGCATGGACTATGCTAGAGGAGAAATAAATCTAGGAATGAAATTCCTCAAGCTAATTTTCTTATTGTGAGTATGAAAGCAGAACTGGAATTTATCACTCCGGTAATAAGGAAACAGATGTTTTTTGTAGGTGAAGGAAATGGGACCATCAACAGAGAAGATGGAGAAATCAGAAGAGCCATGTGGCTATCTTTTGTTTCTTGGCCACTCCATCCTCAGTCCAGTCCTCTACACATTGTGGAGGAACCATGTCTGTGTCACACTCGTTAGGTTACTCTTCAGAAACCTTAGCTGTAGCATTACGTCCTTCAAACTTGAGAGATAAGAAAAAGTTCCAGTGATCTAGAAGAAAGCACTAAAGGGACTGGTGCCTTTTCCATGGAGATCTTCTTGAAACATCAAATGTTTGAGATCAAAGGGAGGAGAAACTCCCCACCGCCAGCATGTTGCCAGTTTTCTAGTGCTGAGAGTAATTAGCAAGCTGAAGGGACCAGGATGTGATCAGTCACCCTCAGTTGAAGACTTTCTATAATGCCTGGAGGAGAACTTCTCAAGGTGGCTTTGGAGTAGGAATACAGAGTCCATATTCTGCATGCAAATTAAAGGTCCTTGAGATTTTCAGGACATGTACTTGAGGCCCTGGAAAGCAGCTGCTGGTTTCGGTAGACAGCACAGTGCTACAGGGACCATTTCTTTTTGGGGCTGGAATGATAATTTCATGTACAGGATATATATATATATACACACATATCCAGCAACTGTCATTTGTTCTGGAGGATCTTCAGAAATTTCCCTGCCATTTTACAGCTCGGGAATCCTAGATACTTACGCTGTTGTACTGGAGAAAGAAAGCACTAGGAGTTCAGGTATGTAGATCCTGCCACAGGCAGTCTTCTCAGTGATGGCTTGGTCTTTTCGTGATCGGTTCTGCAGGTTTCCCCAATAAATGAGATTGGGTCAATCATTGGTAAAGAACACAGCTTGCATGGACCGGTGACCTCATTTAGTCCTCTATCCCTCTGTTTGAAAGTCACTGGCTGATTTCACACTAGAGCTGCCTCGATGTTGCGCCACCGTTTGCCCCGATACTATTGGTCAATTTCACACCCGAAGCCACGGGGCTGCATTGGACCCGCGGCTTCACCCGATTTCCTCCGCAGTTTCGTGATCCTCAAAAAACAGGATCACGAAACTGCGGGGGAAATTGGGCAAAGCCGCGAGTCAAAATGTAGCCCCGCAGCTTCGGGTGTGAAGTTGACCAATAGTATCGGGGCAAGTGGCGGTGCAACATCGAGGCAGCTCTAGTGCGAAATCAGCTACTGAGTCTTCAATGAGCTCTTTCATTCTTCCCTGATTGTCTTACATAAGAAAACCGATTAACGCACATCTAGTTTTATGTTGTGATGACCCATGGTCATAAGCAAGAAAGTGACTGACGCATCCAAGGGTCATTCTTGCTGTTTTTCAGATACGAAACTCTGTGTGCTTAGTGATCTCATTCTGGAGGAACAAACCACAATACTTGGCTCCTGAGATCGCCATAGACAACCTTTACAAGCAGGCCCGTAGCCAGGATTTTGTCATTCGGGGGGGCTTTAAATAAGTTGGGGAGCACTGATGTTCAGTTGTGGAAGCAAGCCATACTTGGGGAAGGGGTAGCAGCAGCAGGGGGCCTGGGCTAGATGGAAGTTGTGGGGCCTTGGTAGGAAGTCAGGGGGCCAAGCCCCGAAATGCCCCACTGTAGCTACGAGCCTGTTTACAAGGGAACATGGAGAAAGCCTCTATCTGTGGCTTTATGTGAGAAATTGTGTTCGGGTCTTAATAACCTGACCAAGCCAAGAGCGGTGTTACTTGCTGATGGGCAAACTGTGCAGTGTTTGTCTCTAGCACGTTTCTGTATCGCCTATGCTATCCTTTTAAAATGCAGCCCTATGCAGGGGTTAATTTCACCTGTGTTGGATAATGCACTTTCAATGTACTTTAGCAATCCTTTGTAGGTGAATTTTCCTGTGCGAAACTGGGAAAACTACTTGCTAAAGTGCATTATCCAGTGTGTGTGAAATTAGCCAGAATTACTCCAGTGGAAGTCCATTGATTGGAATAACTCTGCCTAGGATTTTAGTGTCAAGCAACTTTGGTGGGTGAAGTTGAAGTGTGACAACTTGCCCAAAGCCATTGAACAAAACTGTGGAGGTATTTGGGTCATGCTTGTGAAAATGCAAGGCTTCTACATACTTAGAGAACTGCTGATTTAGCACCTAAGTGCACTCAGATATTTTCCATCATTGTAGTTGATATTAAGCATTGGTTAGGGGAACCTGAGATGTACGGAGGCTTCCCATTCTAAGTAAAGCAACTGCGTGTGAGAATTTTGCTGTAAACATGGGGTGTGGGGGCAAGGGGACTACATTATATTTCATTAACCTCACTAACATCAAAGCACTTCACTGATAGGTAGAGGTGTGCACATAAAAAACTTGGCTTAAAATTAGCTTTTAATATAACCTGCCATTTGGACAGATGATTGTTCTCTGGGTATGGTGGCAAATCAGAATAATCACCCAACAACTGCAGGTTGGGAGATAAGAGCTCAAGGCTACATCATGGGATGGGGTTTCAAAGTCTGGAAATGTCTGGTTTAAATGAAAGCACTTTGCACTCAGCTTGGGGTTTTCTAGCCCCTAAATTGCTTCATCTGCCAATTTTGCTACCTCTCTGTTTCATCTGACTCTTATCTTACAGTTGCTATTATTTCTTAAATACATTTGAGAACGGGGATTTGGGGGTCACGGTCCTATTTGGGTTCTTGGAAAACTCAACAAGTGTGATGTGGATCTGTCTGGGAGAAAGTAGCTTTTCTTCTATCCTGCAGTTCCAGAGGTGGCTGGTCATTCTTTTATTATAGGTGCTTATTGTTAGGAGAACAGGTGTTTATTGATAGGAGATTATCCCCTGGTAACTCACCCAGTGTCCTAAAAATGGATCATGGGACAAATGGACACAAACGATGTGTTCTTTAATTACGTTACAGTTGATTATATAACAATTGATACAACTGAGACATCAGGCAATGTGACAATCAGTGGGAGGAGTATTAAATGCTAAAAGTGACAGGCAATGAAGAAGCATGGAAAAGCCAACTTGACTTTGTCAGGAAAGCTGAACTCAGTGTTCGTGGAATAGGATGCTTTATTGTCTCTGCCTTCAAGGTGCCAAGGAGGTGTTGGTGGAGTCTCCCCTATACAGGCCAACTGGAAAGCAGGTATAAACCATAGTGCTAACCAGTGTTCCCTGTAAGCTGAGTTAGTGTGAGCTAGCTCCCAGTTTTTTAGCCTCCGGCTCACACATTTTTGTCTTAGTTCAGGAAGGATGATTCCAGAGCAAACTAAGTTATTCAGTAGCCAATTCACCTGCTCACAACTTTAATGCCGGTAGCTCACAAAGCAGAATTTTTGCACACAGGACTCCACAGAGGGAACATTGGTGCTAACCATGGCTGAGAGTGAAGAATCCATAAGAATCCATAGGAATTTTGCCAGAGAAATAATGAATGCTTTAAAACGTGAAGGTCAAACAAAGGATACCATAAAGTTCTGAGAGTCTTGCACCCTGAAAATCTTGTTGGTTTCTGAGGTGCTCTTGAACTCAGACCTAGTTTTCCTGCTGTGGACCAACATGGCTTCCCCCTGAGACTCCCCTCACAGTTCAACACACTTAAGGGGTATATTCAGGTAAAGGGACTATAGTGAATAGGGCAGAGAGGGTTTGTTGGGGGTTTTTTGCTGTTCTTACTGAGATCATGCCCCTGGGTTAAATGGAGTGGTATTGTTGCCCTTTGACACAAAGGCTGGCTTAAAAAAAAAAAAACAGTTTCCCTATTCTGAGAGAATGTCTCGGCATGAATGTTTCCACTGTTGTGCAGGAAAGACGCTCTGAATGGGGGACGACAACTTCACCACTACGACAGAATTCATCTTGGTGGGACTCTCCAGTGACCGTAAGACACAGATTCTCCTCTTCGTGCTTGTTCTCCTCATGTACATCTTTACCCTTCTGGGAAACCTAGGGGTTATAGTGCTGGTGCGAGTCGACTCCCACCTCCACACACCCATGTATTTCTTCCTCTCACACCTCTCAAGTGTGGAGATCGGTTTTATCACTAGCACTGTACCCCAGATGCTGAACCACCTTCTAACAGGTCGTGGAGAATTGTCCTTAGTCCGTTGTGCATTACAGATGTACATGACCTTGGCGCTGGGTTCTGTCGAAGCAATTCTGCTGGGCATCATGGCTTACGATCGTTACTTAGCCGTCTGCCATCCCTTAGTATACGCCTCAGCCATGGGGAAATGGCGGCAGTTCCAGCTGGCCTCAGCCTGCTGGCTAGCTGGCTTTATCATTGCCGCCATATGTGTGAGCATCACCTTCCAGCATCCCTTCTGTGGCTCCTGCTGTATCGACCACTTTGTCTGTGAGATACCAATGGTGTTGAAGCTTGCATGCAATGACGCCCGCGTCACACGACATATCATTGTTATGTTTGCCGGGATTGTCATCCTGGGACCCTTTTCAGTCATCTTGACCTCCTATGGCCACATTCTGTTCTCTGTGTTGCAAATGCGGTCAGCCGCCGGACTGCGCAAGGCCTTCTTTACATGCAGCTCCCACTTAATAGTGGTCACTTTGTTCTATGGTACCATCATCTTTGTGTATATAAGGCCTCAGTCAGGAACATCTCCTGAAAATGAAAAACAAATGGCTGTGTTTTACCTCATGGTCACCCCTCTTCTGAATCCTCTCATTTACACTCTGCGGAACAAGGATGTCCATGTAGCGATGGCCAAGGTGCTGCGAAGATGGGTTTTGTGAAGAAAACATGAGGGTTGACATTGGTCTGTGCGGTCACTAGCTGCCACGAATGACTAGTGTAAATAAGGTTCTTGAGTGTTTTCACACTGACTGTTACATTTCTTGTCGTCTTGAAAGCTGACAACGGCACACTCCAACAGCCTGAACAGTATCACGGACCATTTCACTATTACATTTTTATCATATTCTAGGTTCATAGAGCTGGGAGTGGCATAAATGGCTCTCTCCTCCTGTATGTGATCTTCACAATAACCCTGTGAGGTAGGCTAGGTTGAGGCAGAACGACCATCACATATTTCTGAAGAAGTGTGCATCCACACGAAAGCTTATATCTTGAACTAAACTTTGTTAGTCTTAAAGGTGCCACTGGATTCAAACTTTGTCCCATCACATGGACAGTTAGTTCTTGTTTTATGTGAAACATTTCTACGCTGCCTTTCCCCACAAGATGGTAACATGAAAACATTAAAATAGCATTTAAAAAGATAAAGGTAAAGGTTCCCTTGCTCGAAAGCCAGTCGAATCCGGCTCTAGGGTTGCGGTGCTCATCTCCGTTTCAAAGCCGAAGAGCCAGCGCTGTCTGAAGAAGTTTCCGTGGTCATGTGGCCGGCATGACTAAACACCAAGGCGCACAGAACGCTGTTACCTTCCCACTGAAGTGGTACCTATTTATCTACTTGCAATTTCTTGCTTTCGAACTGCTAAGTTGGCAGGAGCTGGAACTAGAGACAGGAGCTCACTCCGTCATGCGGCACACTCGGGTCTCGAACTGCTGAACTACCGACCTTCCACAGCCTGCAGTTCAGCATCTTAACCACTTGAGCCACCACAATAAAGTATATATGAAACAAGCTATTCAGTAAAGCACAAATATACGTAGCAGCACAACAAAGAAGGATAGCCAAAAACAGTTCTTTGGGAAGACACCAAATGAAAGAAAAAAGTCTTCACCCACTGGCAGAAGTCGACAATGGCTAGTGAGTTTCATAACTGAGCGGCGCGAAGGATCAGGGCCTTGTTGGTCTCAGACCAGCTGCTGGGGGGAAAGGGACGTACTGTAAACACTGGAATGCCTGACGCGTTGGTTTGACTGAACAGAAAATATCTGTAAGTTCCTTAAGAAAGGTGGACAATAAATAAAATAAAGTCAAATAAATAATTGATTTGAAATAATAAATGGATCCTGAGTCCCCACGTTTAGCAGAATATCTGTATTGGCTAACAAAGTTGCAGAATACTGAGGTGATTAAACTGACTGTAACTGTTCACATTGCAGGAGTGGGGGCCCAAATCTAACCTTGTGGCCATGTTTCCCTTGGGCATCCATATCTGATTTTTTTTTAATTGTTGCCAAACTTATTTATTTATTTATTTATAAATTCAATTTATAGCCTGCCCTCCCCGCAACGCGGGCTCAGGGCGGCTCACAATCAGGCATAAGCCCGCACATAGAACACATTTAAAAACCATTTAAAAATCATTTCTACAATATTATGACATTATTATTAAGTGCTCTGGATCGTCCAAATAGATCTTCCATAAAGATGACGCTTGGCGCTGTCGTTCTTTCTTTCAGGGCCAGATAATGATGGTACAGTACTCAAACACCTGACGGAAGAGCTCCGTCTTGCAGGCCCTGCGGAATTGTGCAAGGTCCCACAGGGCCCGGGTCTCCTCCGGGAGCTTGTTCCACCAGGTAGGAGCCACCACTGAGAAGGCTCTGGCCCTGGTAGCCGCCAGCCTGGCCTCCTTGGGACCAGGCATCACCAGGAGATGTTGCGTCCCCGACCGTAGTGCCCGTGGGGGAACATATGGGGAAAGGCGGTCCATTAGGTATGCTGGACCCCGGCCATTTAGGGCTTTAAAGGTAAGAACCAGCACTTTGAAACGAATCCGGTACGCTATCAGCAGCCAGTGCAGTGCTTTCAGAGCAGGCCGGATGTGGTCCCTACTAGGAAGACCCATCAGCAGCCTGGCCGCAGCATTCTGCACCAGCTGTAGCTTCCGGATTTGCGACAGAGGGAGCCCCATGTAGAGAGCGTTACAGTAGTCTAGCCTCGAGGTGACCGTCGCGTGGATCACTGTGGCCAAGTCACTGCGGTTGAGGAAGGGAACCAACTGCCGCACCAGCTGAAGGGGGTAAAAAGCTGACTTGGCAGTGGCTGCCACCTGGGCCTCCATATTTAGTGAGGAGTCCAGGAGCACTCCCAAGCTCCTAACCTCAGGCGCTGGCACCAAAGGCACCCCATCAAAGGTCGGGAGAGGGAGCCCCACCCCCAGACCACCCCGATTCAGGCCCAGGACCTCCGTCTTCGCCGGGTTTAACTTCAGCCGACTAAGTTGGAGCCAGCCAGCCACGGCCTGCAACACCCGATGCAGATCTTCTGGACTAAAGCCCGACCGGCCTCCCAACATCAGATAGAGCTGGGTGTCATCTGCATATTGATGACACCCAAGCCCATACCTCCGGGCAATCTGGGCAAGGGGGCGCATGTAGATGTTAAACAACATAGGGGACAGAACTGTCCCTTGAGGCACCCCACATTCAAGAGGGTGTCTCCGGGACTATTCCCCTATCGCCACCCTTTGTCCCCGACCACGGAGAAAAGAGGCAAGCCATTGAAGGACGAGCCCCTGAATTCCCACGTCGGCGAGGCGGTGGGTCAGCAGCTGATGGTCGACCATATCGAACGTGGCCGACAGATCTAACAACAACAGCGCCACCACACCGCCTCGATCCAGATGCCGTTGGAGGTCGTCAGTAAGAGTCTCTGTCCCATGCCCCGGGACCAACTGGGAGAGGGGCTGGACTGGAAAGGATCTAGGGCAGAAGCGTCATCCAGAAAGCCCTGCAGCTGTACCGCCACCACCCTCTCAATATGTTTGCCCAAATAGGGCAAATTGGAAACCAGCCGATAGTTGGCCAATTCGGCCAGGTCCAAAGAAGGTTTTTTCAAGAGAGGGCGGACCAACGCTTCCTTAAGTGCCTCCAGGAACCATCCCTCCGAAAGGGACGTGTTGATAATCTCCCTGAGAGCACCTCGCAACCCCTAGTGACCCGCTTTAATGAGCCAGGAGGGGCACGGGTCAAGGTTGCGTGTGGTTGGGCGTACCGATGCAAGCAATCTGTCAACTTCCTCCAGACTGAGCAGGCTGAAGCATTCTAAACCCGGAACCGAAGACGTGCAAGGAGCCTCGAGTTCGCTCACTGTCTCAACTATAGCGGGGAGGTCGCGCCTCACAGCCAATATCCAATTCCCTAGCATTTCGCCTGCCCTGTGGCAGAGCTGTTAATGACCAAATTGTTCTAAATAATTGGGCTGGGCGCGAGCTCGCAGATGCAATCCTGGTTGCATAGAAAACTCTCTTTTCGGCCCTGACTGCCATCTCATAAGATCTCATAAACGTCCTATGTGCTTATTTATTTCCCCAAATGTATTCCGTACAGTTTAGTAGTTAACTTTGAACTGGGGGGGGGGTAAAAAAATCAAAATCATGATGGGACCACTTATAGCTTTAAGAAATTGAAGCCCTCAGTGGCTGTTGCTAGGCAACCACAACATTCCAGGCTTGGTTTCTGTCACTAAAAGGCAGGAGGAGGGGGCAGGGCCTTTTCAGGACTGTTTTGTCTTTGAGGGGCAGCTCATCAGCAGCAACCAATGGGTGACTTGATACCACATGATTCACATAACTCACTTAGCTCTGGATGTGTCTATGAAAGCCTGTGTGGGGTAGCAGTTAGAGCTTCAGGAAAGGGTCAGTTTTCCATGGAAACTCACTGGGTGATGTTGGGCCAGTCACATGCCTTCAGACTAACCTACCTCACAGGGTTGTTGTGAGGTTAAAAGGAGTGGAGGAGAATGATGTAAGCTGCTTTGGTCCCCACTGTGGAGAAAGGTAAAGTAAAGGTAAAGGTCCCCTTGCTCGAAAGCCAGTCGAGTCCGACTAGGGTTGCGGTGCTCATCTCCGTTTCAAAGCCGAAGAGCCAGCGCTGTCCGAAGATGTTTCCATGATCATGTGGCCGGCATGACTAACCACCAAGGTGCACGGAACGCTGTTACCTTCCCACTGAAGTGATACCTATTTATCTACTTGCAATTTCTTGCTTTCAAACTGCTAGGTTGGCAGGAGCTGGAACTAGAGATGGGAACTCACTCCATCATGCGGCACACTCGGGTCTCGAACTGCTGAACTACCGACCTTCCACAGGCAGATAATAGGTTGGTGAATGGCTGAGAAGGAGAGAATGCGGCAGGGAAAGAAGAAAGGATATGGGGATTGCCAAGAGGAGGGAAAGGGGAAATTATGTGGGCAAAAGACACAGGGGAAAGTGATATGCCCCCCAGAAGTCCCTGAGGGTTCCCTATCATACAAGTGGGCTTGGTCCAGCAGCTGCCACCACTTAACTGGGCTCCAGTTTTCCGAGGTAGAGGCTTCTGGGGGGGGGGGGAGCTGAAGACAGATGGGCAGACAAAGGTAGGTTGGCTGTTGGGTGGAAAGGAGAGATGGAAGAAGGAAAAGGGGAGAGTCTATGGGGGCTTTCAGGGAGGGGAAGGAGGAAGTAGTGGAGGATGGGGAAAGGAGATTCCTTGTGCCTTCACAGAGCTCTCTGGAAGAGGCAAGATGGGGGAGGTGATATCTTCTGGCTGAGCCTGCATGAAGCAAGTCAGATGCTGGTGCCCCGCCCAGCCAAGCCTGCTAGGCAGACAGTGGCACCTAGCCCAAGTCCAGACCCAAAGAAGGTGAAGCAGACGATGACACCCCTCTGGTCCAAGCCCTGCACATGGTGGCACCCGGCTGAGCCCCACATGAGGCAAGGCAGACGGCAGCACCTGGCCCAGGGGAGCCCCATGCAAGGCGAGGCAGACCTCTGCATCCATCCAAACCCTATGCGAGGCAGAGCAAGTCAGACAGTGGCACCGGGCCAAGCCCTGTGCAAGACAATGTGAGGCAGACTGCAGTGCCCAGCCAAGCCCCAAGCAAGGTGAAGCAGATGGCAGTGCCCGGCTGAGACCCATGCAAGGCAGTGTGAGGCAGACAGTGGCACCCACCTGAGCCCTGCATGAGGCGAGGTAGAACCCGGGGTGTTGGAGATTGTAACTCTGCATACAAGAGCATGTGGGAGGGAAAGGGTTAAGAGAATTTTCTCTCTCTCTCTCTCTCTCTCTCTCTCTCTCTCTCTCTCTCTCTCTCTCGTAGACTTGGCAGTTGGCCCACCCTCTCATCCAGGGGCAGATCTACTATGAAGCCAATGAAGTTTAAGCTTCAGGGCCCCTAATCCTGGAAGGGCCCTGAAGCAACTTTCTTTTTTTTAAATGAGTGAATTTTTCAACAAAATTGATGGATTTTTTAAAGTGTTTGTTGTTAAAATACTGCTATTTTGGTGACAGAATCATAAGCCAATGGGCTGAAGTACTTAATATCGACCTTTGAATATGCTCTAATACCCATTTCATATGGACTCAAAATGTCCCTGCAATGGGTCAGATTTCAAAATTTTCTCAGGAGCTTGCACCACCCGAACCCCCACCTGTATGGGCTCTTCAAGCTCGCCAGAATCTATTCATAGCCTACATTTTGGCAGCTGGATCCTTGAGTCCTTCGTTGGTGCACGGCTTAATAGTTCTCCAGCTCAGCCACCCAGCCACAGCCTCCAAAGCCCTGTCCAGACTCTCTGGGGTGGAGCCTGGGTGGCCGTCCAACAACAGATAGAGCTGGGTGTCTGTAGTGTCCGCTGACCGCCACCGGAGGCCAGCGCATATGCCCTAGCTTCAGTCCGAACAACAATGGGGACTAGGATCCTAGTCCCTCCTCTGGGGAACCAATGGGATCCGTGGCGGGAGATTTGAACCCACCAATGGTGACCAGGGGCGGTCCCCAGGTGTGTATATAGTTGGCCTGCCGGCCGTTTATCCTCATGTCTTGTTGTGTGCTAATAAAGCGTGCTATGCACCACGTCGTTGTCTGTCGTTCATCCATGCGGCTACCCACTACATAACAGTGGCGACGAAGGTGGGATTCAGCCGCAACTGAGCCGGGCCGTCGTGAGGGACTAGGAGGACGCGAAGCAGCCGATCCGATGAGCGATCCTGCGAGCAACGGAACCGCTCCTCCCGCACCCCCTCCGACGCGCACAATGGCGACTGCACCGGGGCTTGGGCTGCTGCAGCCCTTCGACATAGCCCGCCCGCAGGACTGGCCCTCCTGGGTACAAGGGGCCAAGTCCGCGCTGGAATTTTTCGATGTGACCGATGAAGGCAAGAAGCGGGGGTTCCTCCTGGCC